TACTTCGCTTTTCTTAAGTGCTCTTTCAACTTGGTGAGCAACTAAAAATACTAATTCCACAGATCAGAGTGCATGAGTCTTAAAGGAAGTTCTCTCACTAAGACCCTGTAAATATTGATGGAAGGAAATGCTAAGCTGAAACACTTTACTTAAAAAAAATATAATAAAACTATGTCCTCTTCCTTTGTTTGTTTGCTTAGTTTAAAAGTCTACTGGCAAAGATATTTTATGTATGTTTGCACGGTGCACAGTACTTTATCCTGTGAAAAATCATAATAGTTTTCATATCTCTAAATGAAGTAAGCACAATTTCAAACAAAATCTCTTGTATAATTATCAAGCTATGACAACCATTCATCTATTTGGTAACAGGAGGAAAAGGTAATCCTCTCCATCTTCAAGGCTAATTAGCTAATGTAAGCATTGGCTAAGGATACCAGTGTCCAGATGTGAAAGATCACTTCTGACTCATGAGAGTTTGTCAGATGCTTCCATCAGATATTCCTTCTCTAGGGCAGGCACAGTGATTACTTAAGAGTTAGAGACCCTTCATGAAGATGGGAACCTTGAGAACCAGTCCTTAATTCATCCATCAGAAATCTCAGAAGGGTGCAAAGCTCAGACCAGGGGCATTTTATTGCATTTGAGAGACGGTTGAATTTAGAACATGTCGGCTGAGATGATCAACATGAGGGCTCCTTTAGTTTTTTAATTTATTTAAATTCAATCAGCCAAGGTATAGTACATCATTGGCTTTTGATATAATGTTCAATGATTCATCAGTTCTATATAACGCCCAGTGCTCATCACATCATGTGCCCTCCTTAAAGGCTTCTTTAAAGGCTCAGAACAAATCAAGAAAACCCAAACCATGAGTTTTTCTTCTTACTTACTATTTATTACGTGAGAGCAAAGACTAGAAAATGAACTCAGAGAATCACCCTTGTCGTTTGGGACCTATAAATAGCTAAGAAAGATTTCCTACAGCCTCTTTTGGGTGGTATTTGAAAAATCACCACATTTCATGGCAGCCATCTCCCCCTACATATTAGATATCGCAAGATACCTTTACACAGAAATAGTTATAAAATCTCTCCTAATTATTTTTTTTAATTTCCACTTAAAAACTGTTTTCCTCCCCACTCTCCTATAATTGACAAGCCCATCATTAGCAGTAAGTAGATGGACTATTTAATGAAGGGAACAGTGACAGACTCAGAGTTCCTAAATACTACCCACATGAAAAACTTACTAATTTTAATAGAAGAAAGTACACTCTCCAGTGAGGGACGCCATCCAGCAACACAGCATGGCTCACTGCCCTTACTTCTTCTCTTCATATCCATAAGGGTGTTCCTGCTTTCCCACAGACCAAGCTAAGTATCTAGGGTTGTAATGTCCATAGTGGGCACTGGCCAGAGTGACTATTGAACACGGGAGACGTGGCTAGTCTGAGCTGAGATGCACTCTAAGTGTTAAATTCCCATGTATTTCCAAGTCATGGCATAAAAATAAAAGAAAGAAGGTTAAGAATTTTTTTTCTTATAATCCTTACATTGATGATATATTAAAAGGATAATATCTGAGGGATAGTGTGTGAAATAAAATATGTTATGAAAATTAACTTCACCCGTTTCACATTTGCTTTTTACTGGCTTTTAATCTGCTAGTAGACTTTTTAAAGATAGTTTTAATTACATATATAGCTTGTATTTTATTTCTAGTGGAGAGCATGAATCTAGAGTTTCCTCAAAACAATCCTCTAAAGGACCAGTCCACAGATGTCCTAATGCATTTGGCCATTCAGCGCAGGAGCAATTGATCCTGTCATGTTACACGGTGATTACCTGATGTTGTATGAGACTCTGCTTTCCAGACTAGACGGGTGTGTATTCATGCTGGCCTTGAATAAGAAGGCTGACCTCTTGTTAGAGAACCACGTGGCTAGAAGGGGAGTGCAGGGTGGAGAAGGGGAATGCCCAGGTTTCCTACTTAACCATGATGCTCACAGATAAGCCTCTCCAGTCCAGAAACTGGGTTGTCCTGTTTACACCATTCCAGCTTTTTTAATACATATTGCTTAAACTCAGCACTGATACAAAAATGCCAACACAAGTGAAAGAAGACTGAGTAACCACAGGTGTCCTCTCATTCACAGAAAGTGCAGGTGATATAGGGAAGAAACAGCAACAACCATCACCCAATAAAACAGAACCAGAAACAGAGCCGTCATCATGACGTCTGTCTGGTGATTCATCCCACCTCTCCTTCTTATGGAAGTACACCACCTCGGCAACAACTGCTGCTTCACTTAATGTCTACATCCCCCCTCTTCCGTGGAAACATACTTGCTTGCTCTATATTTGACTGCCCAGACTCAAAATTATATTCCAAAGCCCCACAACAAGGTCGGAATACTTGGCCAGCAGTACTGAGCAGAAATACCTCTGATGTTTCTTGCTGGGCCTCTACCTGCTTCCTCTAAACCCCCTGTGTCCTATTACCTGGGATTTGGACAGCATATTGGACCATGAGCAGGAGGGCCTGACCACATGCTGATAAGGTGGGTGTTGAGGAAATTTTCATCCCTAAGACAGAGTTGCCATTCTAGGCCTGTACTGCCTGACTCCTACCTTCCTTATGAGAGAGAAACGATTTCCATTTGGTACAAGCTCCTCGTGGGTTTGGATTTTTGTCACCTAGTCTTCATCACCTAATTCTAGGTAGTATATCTCAAATTCTCCTTCTTAGAAGGCTTCACGCCTTTCAATTTAAATTTTTTGGTTGTTTAATGTTTTACTACTCCAAATATACTAAAATATAATTTCCTTAAAAAGTTCAGTTAAAAAAAAAATACTGTTTGTTATTATTCCCTAGACACAATCTGTTCTGGTTAAGGTATACGGATTGGATATATACATCCTTCGTGGAAAGGTCTTCTTGAGGCTTACTTGCAGCTTCCAGAGCTCATCCCTTCAGAAAGTTAAAAAGTAATTGGACAAGAACTAAATAGAACAAGGACTACTGGATTACTCCATAAAATTGAAGGTGTATCTAATTCAAGCAAAACCACGGGGTCACCAGCTGGGAGGAGAAAAGAGGGGATGATGGAGGTGAATGCTGTTTGCTTCTGGATGAGGGAGCTGGGCGTCTGAGAGTGGTGGGTCTCTCACAGAAAACAAGCCCAGCGAGCCACACAACAAAGATGCTGTGGGAGAGCCTTTCTTTTCTAAAATATCATTGGTAGGACATGAGAATCTGTGAGAACAGGAAGCTAAAAGCTTTGCTGTACAATTATCTCATAGTGACGTGTTTAGAGGTGGAGAATGAAGAAGGATGCCCTCCCCACCACCGCAGCCTGGGTGGGTGGCCCTGTCTTCTAAGAGGTGAGAGCCTCTGGGTGTTTGGTGTTTGATATCAAGTCAGGTCGTAAGTGGGGACCAAGATCCCAACAGAGTGTTTTGAGCTTCATATGAGATGATGAGATTCAGGAAATTTTAAAAAAAAGTTATAAATTAAGAAATAAGATAAGAATCCAAAAATAGCCTACACACATATTTCCTTTATGTGACTCCAAAATATCAATTTAAAATGAATGCACATTTCGTAGCTTTGTATAGTTTGGGTTTTTAAAATAATGACATATGATTCTGGTATAGAAGAGTAAGGAAAACATTAAAGAATAAAAACATTTTTCCCCTTGAGGGGAAAAAATAATACTAGGGAATTAGCCCTCATTTATTTCTGGGAGCATTACACATTACCATCACTTGGTAGGAATATGGTTTTTGCTGTAGTTCCTTTGGAAGCCAAGTACGGCCACTTTAGTATTAGACAAAGTAGTCTAATGGCAAAGAGCAGAAGGACACAGAATTCATGTTTCCTTAACCAGAGGATGGTGCATCTCCAAGAAGCATAGGAAAGAGCCTCCTTCAGCCAGAACACAGACAATAGTCTGTCCTCAGGGTGCATGAGGAGGTCAGAAGGTGCATTTCCCACAGGCTATAAACCCTAAAGTGGTTATAGGTAAGGGGAACAAGAGAGCAAATCCTGCAACATAGTCTATCTATCTTAGATAAAGCTAGCACTGTATTTGATATCATAGGATGTATCTGATTTTTTAAAATTTATAAAATAGAATCTTTTCACTTTAAAAAGGCTATAAGGAGGCATAATATATGCTTATATATGAAACTTTGCTTTTTATTCCTTGGTTGACTTCGTGCTTTTTTCCCCCCTTCCTTTACATAAATTATCTTATGGCCAAAATGCAAAAACCAAAACCAAAATCAAACCCTTGTTTTTCTTTGGATTTTTAGTAATTTTCAATATTAAAATAGCCATAATGGTTTTCTGCTGGTTTGACTGTGGTTTGTATAATTCTGGTAGGACCATTCCTATACTTCCTGGAAGTGACCCGTCAAGATTTGGCATCTGTGAGGACGATGATGAAGCATCTTCGGCTCTGCTATGTCAGAGATGAGTTTAAGATAATTTATCGGTGAAATATTAACTCAGGATAGTGCTGACAACTCCCTTTATCACTGGTATCATCAAAACCCAAGAATTAACCTCACTGCCCTTGAAAGGTGAGCATTTTTAGATCTGCAGGGGCGTGCATAAAACTTGCCAAAGGATCTGGTTATATAACCTATTTCCATAATATGCAAACGCTGTGTGTATATATAGGCAAGTACCAAGTTATACTGAGTAAGTCTGTGTGCATGCATCTCAATGATTAGATTTGCTCCCATAGCTCCTGAAATTTCAAAACCACTAATATCCTTGGAAATGCTTGCTGGCTAACCAATTTCAAAGAAATATATCTTCTCTACCTTCATCACTAGGAAAACATGCATCATTTTCTGCTTTGTTCTGCTTTGTCTGTATGACACATAAACAAGGCTGCTCTGCCCTTCAGTCTCCCCGCGCATTCACAAAACGAGCCAACTGTGATGGAAGACAGAACCAGGGCGAGGACATCAGTGCGTGCACCTTACCGCGGCAAATGGGCCGATGGTCGCTCCACGCAGCCAGTGTCTCTGTGACTCTCTGACAGGTTATGCTCTTGGATCCCTGGAGCACATAATTGTCCTCACAGGAGAACTGTACATTTGCACCAACCCTAAGCAATTAAACAAAACAAAACAACCCAGATTATTCTTGGAAGCCTTCTTAAAAAAAAAAAAAATCAGTGTAGTGCTCCGAGTGTCTTACACCATCCAATCAAGAACACACTTCAAGCAATGCATTAGAGATTATTCTTAGATATAACCACGTAATGTAGCATGGGATAGAGTCTCAAGACCTGGGTTCCAATTTCCGTTGTGCCAACTTCAGAGCTAAATAAATGTATGAACCTTCATTTCTTATCTGCAAAATAGACGAAATAACAAAAGTGACTGGACTTCATGGGTGTAGAGAAACAGTTGCATACCCTGACAATAAAACAATGTTGCAGCCCTTCTGTGTGAATAAGTGTCTACAAAAACAAGGATTGAGAAAGTCCAGGTTAGGAAAATGTCTCAGGACACAGAAAGACAAGTACTGCAGGGCCCCACTTACGTGAAGGACCTAAAATAGCCAATTCATAAAATCAAGGGCTGGAGGGGAGTTACTAGGAGCCTGGGGGGAGCAGACATGGGGTGTTATTAACCAACTGTCATAAAGTTTCATTTTACTAAGATGAAAAAGCTCTAGAGACCAGATACACAACATTGAGCCTCTAAGTCAACAGCAATGTGGACTTATAGATGACTAAGAGGATAGACCTCATGAGAAGTGTTTTATTACAACAAAATAGAATAAAATTCTCCCAAAGAAGGGCAGGAGGGAAAAAATGTCTCATTAAAAACAAATCTATGTTGGGAATAGGAGACCTAAATTTCCTCTGATCCCAGGAGATCAGCTGGACAGTTATCAAACCATTCCAAACTCCTACAAACCCAACAGGAGATCGAAGAGAAGAGCAGCGATTCTAGGAACAGAAAAGTGACCACTTTCTGGAAGGCAGGACGTGCGGAGACGTGAATCCGAAGCCACGGGAAGATGGGCGGGCGGGGGGGCTCTGTCAGCTGCTCCTTGCAAGCAGCAGAGCAGCAGAGCACAAAATCAGAACTTCTAGAAGTCTGCTCCATGGAGGGACATCGCTCCAGAGACTAAGCGGGGGTGGAACCCTCGCGGGGACAGTGTGGTCTCAGGTCCCCAGGGTCACAGAAAGATGGAGAGTACCTGAGTGCAGCAGAGCTGCCCCATATTGGAGCGGGGAAGCCGGGGGCAGAGATGGAGCTGAGGAGTTGCCATAAACTGTCATCCCCAGCAGAGTTGGGATCGAGCAGGGACCCCACAAGTAGCAGTTCTGGGAAGACCCTCTCCTTTCTCCTGTGGGAGGAGCGGTACAGGAATGTGAGGCAGGAACCTGCTCAGTTTGACTCCAAACAGGGCCGCGCACCAGAGACAGAAACTCCCGGTCACAGGCCAGGGGAGCTCGGAGCGGCCGGAGACCAGGGAGACGGGAGGGACTGACGGCTCATCCCCGAGGGCGCACTGAGGAGCGGCCCGAGCTCTCCGGCCCCTCCAGCCAGAGACCCGGCGGCCCCCCCCTTCGCCCCCCCCCCCCCCCCCCCCCCCGCCCCCCAGACTCTACGGACAGCGCTCGGGGAACAAAAGCCCCGAGAGCGAACCGAGCGGCTGACTTAGCCCGGCCCCCTGCACGGGCGGCGCAATCCCGCCTCCGGCAAAGACACTTGAGAATCACGGCACCGGCCCCTCCTGCAGGAGATCGGCAGCACCACAGCCAGACGGAGCGACCGATCCAGGAGAACAGAGGAACTCCCGCGGGGAAGCAACGCACAGAATTCATGGCTTTTCCCCATGAGCCTTTAGTATTGGAAAGGTAAATTTTTTAAATTGTATTTTTTTCTTATTCTATCTTTTTTCTAACTTTTCCTCTTTTCTATTTGACCTATTTTATCTCTTTTATCTTATCAATACCTTTTTAAAAATATTTTTAAATTTCCTTTGTTAAAGTCATATTCTATCCCTTAATTGTATTTAGCATTTTTTGGTATACATATCAGTTTTTCTTCCTTTAAAATTTTGGGATACAGTTTCCTCTAACAGACCAAAACATACCTTAAATTTAGCATATGGCTTTCTTCTAGTCTCCAGCCTGATCCTATTTTCTTCTTTGTTTTTTTCTTTTTTCACCCAACTTCTTATCAATTCCTTTTTTAATATCTATTTTTAATTTTCATCTTTACAGTCACATTCCATTCCTTCATCATGTTTACCCTTTGTGTGTGTGTGTGTGTGTGTGTGTGTGTATACATAAAGTTTTTATTTCTTTAAAAATTTGGGAGGCAATTTCATCTAACACACCAAAATAAACCCAAAATCAAGTATGTGCCTCTTCCCTATTCACCAGCCTAATCATATCTTTTTTTTTTTTTCCTTTCTTCTCCCCCCAGTTTCAGGTCTCTTCTGACTTGGTTAGTGCATATTTTTCTGGGGTCATTGTTATCCTTTTAGTATTTTATTCTCTTATTCATCTATTCTTATCTGGATAAAATAACAATGTGGAAAAACTCACCTCAAAAAAGAACAAGAGGCAGTACTGACTGCTAGGAACCTAATGAATATGGACATTAGTGAGATGTCAGAACTAGAGTTCAGAATGACAAAAAGTGCCAGCGGGGCTTGAAAAAAGCATAGAAGATACTAGGGAATCCCATTCTGGAGAAATAAAATCCTTTTCTAGAGAAATAAGAGAACAAAAATCTAACCAAGTTGAAATAAAAAAGCTTTTAATGAGGTGCAATCAAAAATGGAGGCTCTTACTGCTAGGATAAATGAAGCAGAAGAGAGAATTAGCGATATAGAAGACCAAGTGATGGAGAAAAAAGAAGCTGAGCAAAAGAGATGAGCAACTACTGGACCACGAGGGGAGAATTCGAGAGATAAGTGATACCACAAGATGAAACAATAGTAGAATAATTGGGATCCCAGAAGAAGAAGAAAGAGAGACAGTGTCAGAAGGTACATTGGACCAAATTATAGCAGAGAACTTCCATAATTTGTGGAAGGGGACAAGCATCAAAATCCAGGAGGTGCAGAGAACCCCCCTCAAAATCAATAAAAATAGGTCCACACCCCATCATCTGATAGTAAAACTTACAAGTTTCAGAGACAAAGAGAAAATCCTGAAAGCAGCTTGGGACAAGAAGTCTGTAACATACAATGGTAGAAATATTAGATTGGCAGTGGACTTATACACAGAGATGAGACCTGGCAGGCCAGAAAGAGCTGGCATGATATAGTCAGAGCACTAAATGAGAAAAATATGCAGCCAAGAATACTATATCCGGCTAGGTTGTCATTGAAAGTAAAAAGAGAAATAAAAAGTTTCCAGGACAAACAAAAACTGAAAGAATTTGCAAACACCAAACCAGCCCTACAGGAAATATTGAAAGGGGTCCTCTAAGCAAAGAGAGAGCCTAAAAGTAGTAGACCAGAAAGGAACAGAGACAATATACAGTAACAGTCACCTTATACGCAATACAATGGTACTAAATTTATATCTTTCAATAGTTACCCTGAATGTAAATGGGCTAAATGCCCCAACCAAAAGACACAGGGTATTAGAATGGATAAAAAAATAGGACCCATCAATGTGCTGTCTGCAAGAAACTCATTTTAGACTCAAAGACACCTCCAGATTTAAAGTGAGGTGGTGGAAAACAATTTACCATGCTAATGGACATCAAAAGAAAGCTGGGGTGGTTGGGGTGCCTGGGTGGCTCAGTGGGTTAAAGCCTCTGCCTTTGGCTCGGGTCATGATCTCAGCGTCTTGGGATCGAGCCCCGCATTGGGCTCTCTGCTCCGTGGGGAGCCTGCTTTCCCCTCTCTCTCTCTGCCTGCCTCTCTGCCTGCTTGTGATCTCTGTCAAATAAAAAAAAAAAAAGAAAGAAAGCTGGGGTGGCAATCCTTATATCAGATCAATTAGATTTTAAGCGAAAGACTATAATAAGAGATGAGGAAGGACATTATATCATCCTTAAAGGGTCTGTCCAACAAGAAGATCTAACAATTTTAAGTATTTATGCTCCTAACATGGGAGCAGCCAATTATATAAACCAATTAACAAAATCTAAGAAACACATTGATAATAATACAATGATAGTAGAGGACGTTAACACCCTCATCACTGAAATGGACAGATCATCCAAGCAAAAGATCAACAAGGAAATAAAGGTCTTAAATAACACACTGGACCAGATGGACATCACAGATATATTCAGAACATTCCATCCCAAAACAGCAGAATACACATTCTTCTCTAGTGCAAATGGAACATTCTCCAGAAGATATCACATCCTGGGTCACAAATCAGGTCTTAACTGGTAACAAAAGATTGGGATCATTCCCTGCATATGTTCAGACCACAATGCTCTGAAGCTAGAACTCAATCACAAGAGGAAAGTTGGAAAGAACTCAAATACACGGAAGCTAAAGAGCATCCTACTAAAGAATGAATGGGTCAACCAGGAAATTAAAGAAGAATTTTTAAAATTCATGGAAAAAAATGAAAAGGAAAACACAACTGTTCAAAATCTTTGGGATGCAGTAAAGGCAGTCCTGAGAGGAAAGCATATAGCAATATAAGCCTTTCTCAAGAAACAAGAAATGTCTCAAATACACAACCTAACCCTACACCTAAGAGCTGGAGAAAAAACAGCAAATAAAGCTTAACCCAGCAGAAGAAAAGAAATAATAATAAAGATTAGAACAGAAATCAATGAAATAGAAACCAAAAGAACAGTAGAACAGATCAATGAAACTAGGCGTTGGTTCCTTGAAAGATTTAATAAGATTGATAAACCCATGGCCAGACTTATCAAAAAGAAAGAAGAAAGGATCCAAGTTAATAAAATCCTGAATGAAAGAGGAGAGATCACAACCAACACCAAATAAATACAAACAATTATAAGAACATATTATCAGCAACTATATGCCAGCAAATTCAACAATCTGGAAGAAATGGATGCATTCCTAGAGACACATAAACTACCAAAACTGAACCAGAAAAAAACAGAAAACATGAACAGACCCATAATCTGTAAGAAG